ACATTTGATACGGATTTCTGATTATTTTTCTTTCTAAAGGTGAAGTAATGAGTAATTTTTCATAACCAATTTACATTTAGGTCAGTCACACTCACGATTTCACCAAGGAGCAACAAGATAATCTGGGTATTTTATCCATACTTATCAAAGTTTAAAAAATTGATGTTTTTTCATGTAGCAATTGTTTTCTTGAGAAAATTTAAATGACGTCTTAAGGGGACTAAGGCTGCTGTTACTAAATAATGATTGGTGGAAGCATTTTTTGTAATTTTGTTTTTAATTTATATTACTATTATTAATGCCGTAGTGTGGTTGAGGAATGGTGGGCCTCTTGCACCCTCTGTTGTCCAGCCATATTTTTTATGTTCTGTTTCTATTTGTTATTTTTTTTTAACCACATGGTTTCATTAGATTGTATTCTTCACAAATTGTCAGATATCGACGGCTGTTGAATCTATGATGGGTTAGATTCCCCCTGTGACACCTTTATATTCTTCATTTTATTTAACCAGTTGGAAGAGATCTGAAGAGAGTGATAACCTGGAGGTCATCACCTACAAACAACCTTTTCACGCTTGGAGTTTTTCTTGGGAAAAGGTAGTGTTATCCTAAAACTGAGGGCTAATAGATAAGTCACAAAATGAACCTTTCCTTATTTATTTGAATATGGCCTCCTTTACTTATTTTAAAACTCCATGAACCTTCGCGCAATTTTTCCAATCAATACCATATTCTAAGATTTATCTCGTAAAAAGTTAATATCAAGAGAAAAATATATATTTTGTATGGTTTCTGGGTTTCTTCATTATTTACCTTTAAATCATATGTATGTGAACTAGGGTGAGTACGTCCTAAAACATGATGTTGAGATGGAAGGTGATGATTTGTTATGACAAAGCGACCAACAAGAAGAAGAGTAAGAAAAAGGTTTTGTTGCAAACTATAGAAGTAAATATTTATGTTTTTGTAAATTGCATTTCCCAACAAAGCAGGAAAAAGCTGTGGAGAAGGAAAATGTGGATCCTACCTGTGGTTGTACAATTTAATCTCTCATATCATAATCCATAATCTTAATCCAGTAGTGTTTATGGGGGGGGGGGGAACTGTCTGCGCACTTCTTTTTATTTTCCTCTTTGACTTTCATAGTGTGGAATTTGGAATCCATCAGTAGGGGGAGTCAACACTAGCCATGTATAATGTAGGTGTGCTTTAGGTTCAAGGAAGGCCCTGTTTGAGCTTGTGTGCCACTAGAGGGTGTTCTAGTACTAAATTAATTGGACATTCAACCTCCTACTGTGCTTTAAAGAAATCTAATACTCTTGAATATATCCTAATTTTTACATATCATTTCAAGATCTTCATTTACATAAATGTGCCTCCCTGGTTTGCTTAAATATGCAAAACTAAACATTTTTTTGTCAATGTAATTTCAGGCACATTACAGTGAATAGCTATTCTTCAAGAGTCAGAGCCTCAGAGCTTCCTCTGCACATCTTGTGTTTTTAACATTATATGAAGAATTTGTTATTGAAAATGGTCAGAATCTACACTGTGATTGTAAGTATAAAAACATTTAGAATGTTTATAAAAATGTCAGTTACAAGGACAATACTGTTTACAATACAGGACATCTTAAACTCAAAGAATCATCTTCTCTGACAGGCATGTCAAACTTAAATTAAAAGGAACGATAAGTTCTGCGGCTAAGTAATCTAAATTGGAGATGTAGGAGATGTAAAAAATAAATAAATAAATAAATCTCCTTTATGGACAACATCTCACATCCTCTGCACAGTGTTGTGGTTACCCGGCAGAATGCTCTAAGCCTGAAACTAAGTGATTGGTTCAATGCCACGAGTGGTCCATCCTTCTTTATTGCATCTATATGAATCAACTTTCTGCTGAAGTTGTATAATTTCAGAAATTCCACAAAAACGAATTCAAAGCAATTTTGTTCTTATTCTGAAATTAATATTGCATTATAGGAACCATCTTAACCAGAGACTGACTCAAATTAGGATGCAGATGTAAAGGTGCTAAAATTTCCTGACTGCATGTCAGGATAAAAACCAAACCGTAAAATCAAAGAACGTCTTGGAAGCCCCAAGTAGCAATCATGCAGTAAGACACTGATCAAACATAAGTTTAAAAAAATCACCTCCAAAGCTTTGTTTCAAGGCTTTATGGAGGTTTTCTAACCACAAGAAGACCTCCATATTGTTTCCCTGCTTTTTCAGTAGCCACCTGTTTGTGCATTTATGCAGTGATTTGGGTGGGGTCTCTGTTATTCTGGCTCTCGGCTCCACTCATCCTGCACAGTTGCTTGCAGTTAGCTCATTATCTCCTCATCCTGCTCACCTGCCTCTCAGCTCATCGCTATGCAGTGCACGTACTCCTGCTCCTCAACTGTTCTCTGGTAGATTGTTGTTTGCTAGACTGACTAAAACTTTTTTTTCTCCTAGTAATTTAGCTTTTGATGTTTTCCAGTGTTTATCTTCCTTTAATTTCATCACCTATTTTCTTTCTCTCTGCTCAGCTTCATGGCTGTTTGTTTACAACCTCACTGTGCTGTGCCGATCCCTCGCTCCACACACAGTCCGACCTCCAGTGCCGTCCTTCCTAGCAGCTACTTTGCCATCTGAGGCTGTTGTGCTCTTGGGAATACTCAGAGTGAGAGATTCAAGTGCAAGCTACAAACACAGCAGAGAAAACTTTAATTGAAGAGTTAATAAGGTGGAGAGTCCAAACCTGGGGAGTAAGAAAGCCAAGATTTGAAACCAATTATTCTCTTCTGAGAGCTGGCTGTCTCTCTAAAGTCTAAACCGAGCAGCCAGACTTTTTTCTGAATTTAAAAAAAACTTTTTTTAATGAATTATTATGTCCATTTTTAATATGTTTTTTGGACAACAGGTGGAAATTAGCCTTTGGCTATAATCTGGTATGTTTACATTCATGTAATTTCTTCTTTTTTTTTTACATGTATGTTCATTAACATGCACCATCCCAAATAAAGAGAAAAGGACCCCAGACAAAAATAACCTTGGTTGAGGAGGTTGGGTAGAGCTAAAAACCAGTGACTGAGTTCTGTAGCAATTTGCAAAGCACTCAGCAAAGACTAGAGAACCTGCTAGATGCATTAGCCAGAGGCATTTTCAGGATTTTTTTTAAAGGTGACGTGTGGCAAGAGGTGGAATAAGCAAAGCTGATTGAACAGGTCTTTGTGGACTTTTAACTAAAGAATGAAATTGTAAAAGTAAAAATGAAAAGTAAAAGTAATTTTAAAAAGATCAAGATTTTCTGATGAGAGAAGTTAACATTTTTATTAACTTGCTTCTTTTCTTGCTATCGGATATTTTTATAGTTTAAAAAATTGATGAAAACAATTCTAGCTGAACTTAACTGACAACAACATTATATGCTTGTGCCACAGTTTTTTACTCTCCCCTGCCCTCTTTACTGAACCTAGACCATCCCTGTGTCATATCAAAGTTGACTTGAACTTCTTGTGCGTTTTATGACCAAACAACACGATGACGAAGTGAGTCAGTGCTCCAAATCCTGTGACTCAGCTCAACACATGAAACATCCAGCTCAGCTATTTCTGTGTTGTCTGTTAAGATATGATAACTCGCCTGTTTTTTTCAGCATCCTCTCCAGGGTGCTTGGGGAAATGTTTCCCAGGGGGGTCGTGACAAAGTGGATGAGCAGTTGTAATGCTCTCCATTTGTCCCAGATGTGTTGACCTTTTCTTTTGCACATTATTCTGTCTCTGTATTTATTTGCTACGATTTTCCATTTGTCAAAGTAACATTGCTGCACTAACTATCCCGGGTTTGTTTATGTAAGCATTCTGTTGCCGGCAAATCAAACATTCTGCAAATTAAGGCAAATACTCAGTTACATGTTTCTTTATATTTTAATATGTTACAGATTAAGTCATTTGTTCATGCTTACTTTGTTCTTTCTTTTCAGTCTTCATGTAGGTCAGGTGTGGGGAAAGGCCCACCTAGCATTTCCTAATTTTAAAGTGCTGATGACATCACACATGACATCAGCAGGTTGAACCGAGAGGAGGGGTTTCTTTTACCATCGAAATGCTTCCTTTTGTTTGTTTCCAGGTCCGAAGGGATTTGTTGAATCTTTTTTTTTTTTTGTCGTCAATACAGCCATTTAGTTGTGTAAATGTGCTAATTAGAAGTGTGAGAAGGTTTTTGTCATTTTTAGTCAACTATGTAGAGTTTTAGATCTCTCAGCTCAAATGAGTGGTACTGGCTGGAATAATTGAAGGGAGATTGATGGCCC